AGTTATTTGATTATTTTGAATTGTTTTCGATTTTTTCATTTTACGATTAACATAATTATTTGATTATTTTTATTTTTTTTATTTTTATTTCAACTTGTGAATAATATATTGTACAATATTCGGCAATGTAATTTCTGTGGTTAATGCTGTAGTGTGAACGATATATAAGAAATTAGCAAATTAAAAGTTATTGTTAAACACCGCTCAGTGTAAATATTGACAAAATGTAATATCTCGAGAACAAAACCATCTAGCGAAATAAATTTAACAGCATTTTAAAGCATTTGAAAAAGAAAATCGAGGAAAAATAATTTCGTTGGATAAAAAAAAAGTTGCCTTCACCTTTCAAATCACCTTCAAATTAGGAGGTTCTCAATTTTTTTTATTTTCTTACCTGAGAACAGTATGAGGTGATCTTTTAAAAAAGTTTAAACAAGTATTTTTGGTGTTCTTGCATCAAGGAATCCCTTTCAATGGTAGCAGGAACCTAAAAAGGCATTTTGCATATTGTTTTAAGTTCATTATATGGTGTTTTTAGGTCAAAAGAAAGACAAAAAATCTAAAATTTTAATTTTGAAGGTCAAAGTAATTTTATTCAATGTGACCTTCAAAATCTATATATTATTCGGAAACAAAGCGCTTATTCCCAGCGATCTACAAGTCACACAGAGACAAATTATACATAAAATTTAAGTGCTCGATCTGAAACTTTGCACAAACTTTTCACATTTAAGATTCATTGAACCATTTTCGAAATATTTGCGTCGAAAGATTTTAAAATTTTTACATTGAGCAAAGCATTGCTACGTTCATTTCGATAGGCAGCAAGGTGTATTAAACAAGGTGGTGTTGGGGCGACAGCTGAGTTTTTCGCCGTGGAGGCCATTACGTCAAAATGATGTGTTTGTTGTAACTCATACCAATGACAGTATGGACATCAGCGTATAATTTGTTAGTGTAATTTTTTACTTATATACGGCCAACACCACCTTGTTAAATACGCCTTGATAGGCAGCGTCTCAGCGGACAATAGGAGAATGAAAAATTGTTCCATATATTCGCTTTCGTTTTTGTTTTTTTTTCATATCGTTCAAAGCATTGCTACATTAGGAGCGTTCCTTATCTCCCAGAAATAGTCAGAAAAAGTCCGAAGTAGTCAGAAAAAGTCCGAAGTAGTCAGATTTAGTCCAAAAAGCGTTCCTTAACTCGGAAATGACAGCAAAAATGNCAACAGTCAGTGAGAGCGACTCTCATCAGTCCGAAGTAGTCAGATTTAGTCAGAAGAATTTTTTCTGGCAAAATCCTGAAAAGTGTCAAACTCAACTGAATTTCAATTAACGGAAATTAAATACGCAAAAAGTGAGAATAATCTAAAAAGTAACAAAAGTGAATTCAAATTGGAAGGAGGCAAAAAATAATTGATATAGTAAAGCTGAAATTAGTCGAGAGCGCAGAACGTATACTTAAACGCAGTCTGTATACGCAGAATTTTGTCGATTACTGGAGCCCTCAGTGTTGCTTACTACACTGTTGCCCCTCTTCAATACCTTTTCATNTTTTCATAAACTTACCCTTTCAACCACAATTTTTCGTGCTATAATAGATTGTAGCTAAATATAAACTACTTAGTTTTCAACAAAAACCTATTTAATAGTAAATTTCAAATATTTTAAACATATTTTGAATAGGAACTTAGAACTTTTTTACCATCTGCAAAATTGACGAAGTGGCAACCATCTAAAGAAGGAGAAATCAGCTGACACGGAAAAATCTAAATTCCGCAGATTTCTGCGATACGGGCTACAACTACAGAAAAATTCTACGGTGTTGAGTTTTCATTCACATGGCGCTTTGGTAAGGCAGATCGTGTCAGCTGACTCGGGTTTACGTACCGGTAGGTTTACGTTCTTGACTAATTTCAGCTTAAGTGTTTATTGTGCTTGTGCTTGTGTGAATGTGTTTTGTACATACATTTCCATTCTTATTTGACGTTAGCTTTGTTGTTGCCATTCTTTGGACTAAAAATTTGGTTTTTTGCGTTCCTTTACTTTTCCTGTTATTCTCTTTTAGTGAGCGCATTTTGCTTACGCTCTGGCATTTTGACACTTTTCAGATTTTAGTCCAAAAAGATAAGGAATGAACCTATTGGTGTGCATGCACGATTGAGAGAATATCATTCTTGCATTCGGGAAACACGCTTTGTACTCTCGTTCGTCTGAGTAATTCAAGTTGGCTGACAACAACAATTGCGTACAAAAGAGTTTCTGTGTGTGAATGCAAAGGGCAAAACCAAAACCTAGTCAAAGAAAATGTTCCCTTTGGCTCTGTACATATGTATGTACCAGTGTTGCAAGTTTGTGAGATTTCGCCCTTTTTTCGGGATTTCATGACTAAAAAGGGTGAATGGGATTTTCTGTCGAAAAACGGGATTTTTTGCCTACCATACCAAGCAAGAAAATTAAGTAATTGATAAATAAGAAAAAGCTGATCACTGTGGTAAATTAACGCCGTTCATATGAACCCTATCAGCAGAATTTCATTCACTTTAAATGAATTGTAATAGCAAGTTTATGAGTTATACAAAAAGTAATTGGGGAAAATAAAGTGATATAAGTTTGAAAAACGTGTGGGGAACTCGAGAAGTTGTGTATTTTGAAAACATTGAAAAAATGTCCAATCATGGCTTGTTTTTTTCAAATTTTTTGAGTTTATAGATTCTGNTGATGAAATGTCAAAGCATACTGAGCATCTTTCTCTTTGACACCATGTCTGAAATCCCACGTGATCTGTCAAATACTAATGCATGAAAATCCTAACCTCAAAAAAATCACCCGTTACAAAAAGTAATTGGGGAAAATAAAGTGATATAAGTTTGAAAAACGTGTGGGGAACTCGAGAAGTTGTGTATTTTGAAAACATTGAAAAAATGTCCAATCATGGCTTGTTTTTTTCAAATTTTTTGAGTTTATAGATTCTGAAAATATTTTGAGTGATTGTATTCTTTGATAATGCAAATAGTAAAATTTGCGATTAGCAAACGTTTGGGAGGTAGTCGTTAACAAAGAGGCAGTAAATAGTTCAATTGTTACTGACATCAAAACGAAAAAGGGAAATAGATTAAGCGAACAAGCATTAAATATGTGTGACTACACAATCTAATTTACTTAACAAACAATCTAATTGTGCGACTTAGGGCCAATTTTTCTGTGCACGGCTGTGGTTTAAAAATAGTTTAAACACCCGAGCTGGCTGGTTTAAACTAAGATTAGCCAATGAAATGTCAGCCATGTGATCAATTTAAACGCGAAAACGAATGAAAAGGCTGTTGTAAAATATGTAGGTTAGAGCGGGTCGAAAATCTAATTTTTCTCCTTGGTAATAGTGAAAATATATTGTATCATGAAGTCAACAATAAGCCTGCAAAATATTAGTTTTTTATTTTAATTGTAAGAGCCCGCGCATCGACCGCCAAGTGACCCACAGCGCACTAGTCGAATAAGACCAATTCTTGTTAAAAATTCTGGGTTCAGCAAAAAGGTTTGGTGCATATTATTAGATAATGAATCCGTTAATGCAAAAGATAAAGTCAAACATCATTTCTCGCAGCCCTTTAGCTTATCGTTAATCTCAAACTTATCTGTTTTTAAACCAAATTGTAATTGTTTTGTTGATAATTGCACTGGCCTATAGTCAAAAGATGTAAAGAACAGCATTAACAATGCTGGCGTCCATTTAGGTCGCTGGTCCCAAATATTCTAATCTTTTTTTTAATATTAGATACAGTTTGCGAACTTTTGCAAATTTAGGAACAATATCGGTAGCTCTAATAGAAAGGCCATTATTTTCCATCATCGTGGAAAAATTTTGTTTATGAAAATGAGTATGGAAACACTGAACAGGCACAACTTCTAGAAACACTAATTTGTTTACTTATGTTTATGCATACAATATAAAAATCAGGGGCGAGATCCGGATGAAAAATTTTGTCGGTTCGGTTCAACGAGAATAACAGGGAAAAGTAAAGGAACACAAAAAACCAAATTTTTAGTCTAAAATAGCAAAAGAATGACAACAACAAAACTAACGTCAAAAAAGAATGGAAATGTATGTACAAAACACATTCACACAAGCACAAGCACAATAAACACTTTATATCAATTATTTTTTGTCTCCTTCCAATTTCAATTCACTTTTTTACTTTTTAGATTATTCTCACTTTTTGCGTATTCTTTAATTTCCGTTAATTTAAATTCAGTTGAGTTTGACACTTTTCAAGATTTTGCCAGCAAAAATTCTTCTGACTAAATCTGACTACTTCGGACTGAAGAATGTCACTCTCACTGAGTGTTGCTCTCACATTTTTGCTGTCATTTTCGAGTTAAGGAACGCTTTTTGGACTAAATCTGACTACTTCGGACTTTTTCTGACTATTTATGGGAGATAAGGAACGCAACTAATGTTGGCAAACATCAGACTGCCCCTCAATGGTTTTACCTTGTTATGTTTTTTATCGTGGTTTTACGTGTTTTTGATACTTTTTTATGATGTTTTTTGCTTCTCCTGTAAAATAAAAAATTTTTTGGCTAGGGACTTTGTGAATTAAGGTGACGATATGTAAACCGTTCATCCTGGAATTTTTTAAATGATTATTTAAACAAATATTTTAAATCAATTCAAAGGCCATATAAATTTTAGATAGTGTTTGGCACGCGGAAATCTGGGAATGTTTAAAAGAAATATATCAGATGAAAAAAATGCTTCCGTATTCAACTTCATATTCTTTCTTTTATTTCCACGAACTGTTTGCTCCTCTCGTCACATGAACCCCGGTAATAATTTTTTAAGAGTAGTTTTGGTTTCGCAAAAAACTAAAAGTGTCACACAAACCTATTGGTGATAATTACAAAAAAAAACATAATTTTCTTTTTCTAGTATAATATTTAGTCTCTGTGTACGTACGAATAAATAATAACTCTTGCACGAATAAATTTCTTCCTTAGGGCAAGAAGGTGTACTATCATAAGATTATCATTGAATCTCCTGAGGGTAAGGAGATAGTCAGCGTTAAGTGTATTACAACCGAACCCTTCTATAATGCACTCATGATGAATGTCACCAAACGCGAGCACCATGGCATTGTAAGGCGCGATGTTCTACCGGCTGGGTTTCAAGAGCCAGAGTAAGTTTTGTCTATAAATATGTAACTCGACATATTGTATACATTTGCATTTTTTAATGATTTATTTATAGAGACTTGGAGATTACCACTTCTTTGACAGAACGTGCACCGGAACCACGCCTATCGATAGGTGTCAATCAAAATGGAAAAAAGGTCACTGGTGACCTCACAGTTACTCCTGGTACACCATTGACAATGGAAATAAATTTGGATCGTGACTCTGCTCCCGTCTACGGGCTAGGAGTGAATTATCTTGAAGTAACTGACACTCGCCAGCTCTCTGAAACCATAGTTTTCAAAGGGTAAACAAAAGTTTAAAAAATTTAAATGTAATGTCTATTCAACAATGATTATTCAGGTGCACAGTGGACCCGTATCTCTTCGAAAATTTCAACACTATTGATGGCGACACACTGACAGCGAAATTCAAAGCGTTTAAATTCCCCGATTCCTCTTACGTACAATTCCGTGCAACGGTCAATGTCTGTCTAGACAAATGTCTCGGAACTCAATGCTCAAATGGACAAGTCGGTTATGGACGCAGAAGACGGGATACCACTGAGCTATTAGCTCAGGGTTTGATGGATACCAATAAAGTGTACGAGATATCTTTGGCCATGTTCATAAAAATCAACGACATTGAAGGCGTCAATCGTAGTGAGTCCATTGATATTTTTCAATATTAATTACATGCATATATATTAGCGTGATCCAAAATAACTAGCCTATCGAATTTATGGCGTTAGAATTACCTATTTACTGAGAAGAACATTCTCCCATTTAGAAAAAATTGTATTTTAATTTTAAAAGGTGTCGGTGGGCATTTGAAATTTTCCATGTAAATAACATGTAAAAAAATTTGTATTCGTAAATTTTTTCTAGGCATATTCTTGTAGGGCATCTCTAGAAAATTACCCTGAATTTGGTTGACTTAGACACGATTAATAGTATTAAACAGGGACCCAAAATAATTATTATCCTACTATTTGAGATCAAAAACGTCGCCTTGTTTTAAAGGAAATTTTTTTCGTCTTTGTATAATAATTATTTCGAGAAATATCTTTTTTCGTCTCGCAGGACAGTTATTTTCAGATGGAAATTATTTACGTCTTTTCATAATAATCATATGGAATTTTTATTTTTATTCGTCTTCGGTACGCTTATTTCGAGACGAATATGATTTACGTCTTCTCTTAATAATTATGAGGGACTTTTATTTTTTTTCATTCCCCGGGACGTTTATTTTAATACGGAAAGGATTTACGTCTTTTCATAATAATTATATGTGACTTTTATTTTTCTCGTCTCTCGTGACGTTTATTTCAGGACGACAATGATTTACGTCCCACATTTTCTCTTAATAGAATCGGTACACACGAAATTAAACGCAAATGTCTCCGTGCTCGATTATTGATTCGCTAACATCTGGCAACCTTTTTCAAAAAACTGAAACTATGTAAAAGCAAAGCCCTTTAATTTGACACCTCATTTTTGAAAATCTAACGAACGATACAGATTTGATGACATGAACAATCGTGGCGTTTAATATTTAACGCGTTAAAAAACCGAACTCAATTAAGAAGTTTCATTTCAATAAAAGTACCATATAATTATTAAGAGAATATGTAAATCATTTCCGTCTTGAAATAAGCGTCCCGAGAGACGAAAAAAATAAAAATCCCACATAATCATTATGAGAAACATAAATCATAAAGATCCGTTATAATTATTATGAAAAAAAATTTATATCTTAAAATAATCATGCCGCGAGACGAAAACAACTTGTCCATTGTTCAGTAATAATTATAGAGCAATATTTAATTTTAGAATGTTCGGCAGCTAGAAGCGTCAAGTAGATGAATACTGCGAACAAGGCGAATTTATACAAGGTGCTGTTACTGGAGTATTTAGATTTTCGCCGCGGTATTTCTTAATGTCAAAATAATAGGTTTGTATCAAGGCGAATTAATATAAGTTGATAGCAGGAGTACAAAAACAAAAATTTACATGTATTTTGTTTTTGCTTTGGTGGCATAAACTGTCAAAATCTGTAAGAGTGTGTGTAGAAATTCAAACAAAATTTTTCAATTTGATATCAGAAGCCGTGCGGCGAAACACATACACAAAATCAGCTGAGCTAGTAACACCACCTTATATAAATTCGCCTTGGTTTGTATAGTAACTTCTCCAGTAAAACATTGCAGCCAGAGCGTAAAAGCAAAATAGAGCGTAAAATTGATAAGAAAAGAAAACTAGCAGAAAAAGTTACTGAACGCAAAACTAGTAAAAACTTGCAAGTGAATAGTTTTGATATTCTGCTGTAAACATTTTACTGTTTATAAATCAGTTTTAAACTCTTTGCTTTTCACACAAGCACTTACACAGTATAGTACATCATTAATATTTTGATTTCCACTCATTTTACTTTTGTTTGTGCTAAACCAATTCAACAAATGGCGGCCTATGACATTTATTCTTCTTCTTCTTCTGCTAGCTAATTTCTGCTAGTAGAAATTTCACTAGCAAGAATTTGCAGCTCTCCCGTGTTGTTGCGCTCTCGATTTGTTGCTCTCCTGCAAATTTTTTTGGTTATCATCAGGGAACGGATTTTTTGGAAATTGCCTTTTTTTCTGCTAAAGAGATAGAGTATATTCGATTAAGAATGTCCACGATTTAGCTTTCCCTGATTCCATATATACACATTTGATTTGCCTTTTTTAAAGATATTTGCCTTTTTTAAGATATTTGCCTTTTTTGCCTTTTCTACCTTTAAAAAGGTGATTATAGCGTTTACAATTTTTTTTTTTAAGATTAAAAAATATACACATTGCCCATGCGGCTTATAGAAGCGCAGAGACCCCTTGCCAAATTGGTGTTGGAAAAATTCAAAGCCGTTTTCTCAGCTAACGAAGGCTTGGATACAATAAGGGGTGTGGATAAAACTATAAAGGGCGAGGAAACGCCCTTATTCCTGATAATATGAACGTTTCAAACGTTCCATATTTAAATTGGGCTCCCTTGTATCAACTTACGTCGATCGCACATTTAGTACAATCAAGGCTTTTCTTCGCGAAAATCGAATCAAAATGCTGCCAGAAAACTTCAAAATGCATCTTGTGGTTCAATGTTACTACAACTATACAGATTAAAGTTTTATGAGTTAGAAACTCGGAAGGATAAAATAGTCAAAGATTCAAAGTACAAATTTTTCATATAATGAAACTAGTTCATAGTTTTTCTCTTTTTACTTGTAATATAAACATTTCTAAAAAAATATATATTTTTGATTGTTCTTCGTATTTTCTGTCTTTTTTTAGTGCCTTATTTTGCTTTTTTTGCAATACCTTTTTTTTGCCTTTTCCTGCCTTTTTCGCTGTTTTATTTTGCCTTTTTTTGGGTCTTTTACAATACCTAGTGCCTTTTCCTGCCTTTTTCGCTATTTTATTTTGCCTTTTCCAGCCTATTTCGTTACTTTATTTTGCCTTTTTTATAGGTTTTTAGGTCCTAAAAATCCGTTCCCTGGTTATCATACACTTTTCCAGTAAAAATTTGCAGGTTTCTTCTAATATGAATTCGCCTTGTTTACAACAAGCACATCATTTTGACATTAGGAAGTACCGCGGCGAAAATCTAAATTCGCCAGTAACACCACCTTGTTTAAATTCCCCTTGACTGCGAACAGCGAGAGAATGAGAGATAAACTTCAGAACGTTCTAGAGTTGCCATGAGTGCGAGCGCAGGTATATAAAGCCGCCGTTACAGATAGAAGACAAGTCAGCTGCAAGTTAGCAAGCTACCAGTCAAATTGTAAACCAGAGATCAATTGTGTAAAGCGAAGCGCACATTGGCGCGATTCTGTCGTTGCGAATCCGCAAGCCCAAAAATTACAACAATGCTACCCATACATTTTAATGCGCTAGCGCACACTTGCACGATTCCGTCGCTGCGAATTTTTCGAACATTCAATGTTCCTCTCTATTGACGCGTTCGAAACGCGGCTTGCAGCGTTTTGAAGGCGTCAGAGAAGAAGAAGAATGGTGTCACAGCAATAAAGGCAAAGAAAAAAAAACGTGTATTGTACAAAAACTAATAAAAACGTTCGTAATAATAGTATTTTGTACGATTTGGGCACGCCGAGTGCGAAAATACACGAAATAAAGTGAAAATTGAANTCAGCTGCAAGTTAGCAAGCTACCAGTCAAATTGTAAACCAGAGATCAATCGTGTTAAGCAAGTTTTGTAAAGTGATTTAATTGCTTTAACTAGTGTTGTTAATTGTTGTTAATGCATAAACAAGTATTGTGAAGTGTTTGTTGTACAATAAAGTTAATTGTACTGTAATTTGGTCATCGTGAGCGTTTGTTTAACAATCCAGCGATACGAACCTGGANTATTGTGAAGTGTTTGTTGTACAATAAAGTTAATTGTACTATAATTTGGTCATCGTGAGCGTTTGTTTAACAATCCAGCGATACGAACCTGGGGATTTTTGGTAATTCCCAAGACCGATAGAATACTGTATTCGTAAACTGAATTTTATTATTAAGCAGAATATTAATGTTTAAAAATGCAATAAAAAATAAATAAATGGACTAAAACTCTCTCTTCTCCGGTTTACAATCAAAATTTTCTACACATTTTGTATTATTTTAGTGTAAGTTTTTTCATTTAGCAGACATATTTCCAATCATAAAGCCTTAAAACTGCGTATTTCTGCTTTTCATAGCCCGTAATTATATATATTTTTCAGTCTTGACAATCAACATTAAGGCCATTTTTTGAGAATTGATTGTCCTTAAAGAATATGTCAATATATTTCATTTCAAACGGTTCAATAGTTATTAAATCTTTAATGAAAACTAATTTTTGTACATGTTATTTACATGGAAAATTTCAAATGACCGACACCTTTGAAAATTGCCATACAAATTTTTCCAAATGGGAAAATTTTCTTCTCAGTAAATAGGTCCTTTTAAGACCATAAATTCGTTATGTTAGTTATTTTGGATCCCTCTAATATATATTTTTATGGGAAAAATTATACATGAGTATGTTAACCAAAAACTTTGTTTTCAGATGAAGTACTACAATTGGAGGAGAAATTGCGTGAGCTGAAATTGGCTAATCAGCGTCTGGCGCGCAACAGTCGCGTTCATTTCGGCGAGTCCTTAAAGGCTTTTGATCAGCCATTAATGTCCGAGCCAGCGTTCGTGGTTGACGAGAGGGAACTTAGTCAAGCCCAAATAAGCGCAAGCAGCGCTACCTCAAGCAGGTCACTGGGATGGCTACTTTTGCTACTGGGACTTTACACAATTGTTCGGAAATTTATGTAAATAGAACTTCGACCTACAACCCAAAAACTTGTCCACGGAAGTTGCAATGGCTTTTAAAAATTTCACCTACTCAAGAAAAGTATAAAATGGGAGGATGTAATATGCCCGAGTGAATTACCTAGTATAAAGTAGCCACAGGGAAATGAGAAATAATATTCAGGTTGCATTGGAAAAGAGTGTATGTAATACATATGTGTCAATTTTTAGTAAATGGTACATATCATTATACGTATGCGTGTAGTTGCATTAAATCTTAGTAAGAACGTTTGCAAATAGTACTTATTAACTGCCATCAAAACTGTGGAATATTAAAAAAACTAAAAGATTATAAACATTTTAAATTAAAATAAAACAAAATATACATGCATACATACTAATAATTAGAGCTCGAATTTTTATGCTAAAAAATAAGCCTAAAATATGTACCCTCTACCTAAACATACTTAAGCAGTACTTACTTATATACCAGCATAAACATTTTGCTTAATGTTATGATACTACGTATGTACATATTTTCCGGCCTTTTTTAACTTAAAACTCCGAGCTTTACTAAATAATCTTGATAGAGAAAAATGAGAACGTACATACATCTAAGAAATCAGTATGGCAGCTGAAAATTATGACTAACTTTTGTACCAATTTAAATACGTAGTATGTTAAAAGCTTAGGGTCCAGGTTTAATAAAATATACGTAGTATTTTTCTTGAAGAATTTTCAGCAGATTTTACTGACGATAAATTTTGTTTCTAACGATTAAGTCACTACTAGTCTACTAAGATAAAAAGTTTTGTTTAAGCTAATTCAAAAATAATTTTAATAATAAGCAAAGGAAAAATAACTAATAAATATCGATTCTATATATATTACTAAGTACCTTGACTTAAGATTTTCTTTGTTATTTTAGGCCTCATTGGGAGTGTCGCGTCGCATCGAAAATTACAGGCATTCAGGGTTGCCACTGACTAAAAAAATACTTACCATCCACTTGAAAGGAAATCTACCAAATATGGAAAATATCTACCAATAACTTTTTTTAGTTATTTTTATAAAAACTATAGTTTTGTACTATCGTTTCTACAAAAGCGAAAGTTATGAAACTAAAGGCAACAACGAAACTTTATCATTTGGAGTTCTTCTTCTTCTTATTTGGCGCTGTAACCGCCTAAGCGATTTTGGCCGAGTTCAAAACAGCACGCCAGTCATTTCTCTTCTGTGCTAACTGACGCCAATTGAAAATGCCAAGTGAAGCCAAGTCCTTCTCCACCTGGTCTTTCCAACGCAGAGGAGGCCTTCCTCTTCCTCTGTTACCAGCATCGCGGCCCGCGTTGAATATTTTCAGAGCAGGAGCGTTTCTGTCCATCCGAACGACATGGCCAAGCCAGCGGAGCCGCTGAATTTTAATTCGCTGCACTAT